TCTGCATTCCAATATTCTATTCTATTCTTTCCTATTCTATTCTATTCTATTCTGCATTCCAATATTCTATTCTACTCTTTCTTATTCTATTCTATTCTGCATTCCAATATTCTATTCTATGTTTTTTTATTCTATTCTATTCTCTGTTCTATTCTATTTCTATTCTATTTTCACACTTAGGACCATTGCAGCATTCACATGATTATGTGATTCACATTCAGATATTTGACAGTTGACTCACATTTATGACGCTGGTGTAATATCGTCACTCTTTGTGACCTTCTGTCAAGCAAAGTCAATGGGGGAATCCAGATTCACTTAACAACCATGTGACTAATTTAATAACTGCAGTGATTCACTTAACACATGCGGCGAGGAAAGCTATAAAATGGGGCAAAACTCACTTGTCTCACTTAGCAACATAAATTTTGGGCTCCATTGTGGTCATATGTCGAAGACCACCTGTATAAAGTAAGACCCCAAAGTAATCATGGAGAAAAAGAGAGTGCCTCTGAGCACACTGAAGAATACAACTCACAAACTCTCCAGGGCACAAATGATTAAAAATCCACCATTTGACTGAATGTTCAACCATCCACCGGGATGATATACAGACCGTAAAACGAAACATCCACACATCCAAAAATATCCTTAGAAAATAGTGGCTTTTTAACAAACAAAGTCCATTTGATTGGAATTATTTTCCCAATCTTCTTCCCAAATTCTGTACCGTTCAACCCTAAAGATTTCTTGCAAAACCAAGACACAATCTGTGCTGTCCACCATCCTGTTTTCAACAGAAGTTGCCCAGATGCCTCCCCCCAAAAATCTGCCTAGCGGGGATGGGAGGGGGAGAATGGCCCTCCCCCCCTTTGGCCATCACCACCAATCGCCTTTTCCTTACACACATGCGTGCATACACCACCACCACCTCCTCCTCCTCGTGTCCTTTTATTCTGGATTAATTAATTCACCATTACCCAAAGGACAGCGAGGGGTGCCATTAATCACTCCTTTTCTTATCTAAAGCATGAATTGGAAAATCTAATTCATCGGCCTTTGGAGGGGGGAGCCGATTCCACCTTTTCCCTAAAGAAGCCAGTTCTATAACCAACCCACTGGGATTGGCCCCACTGGATCGGTTTCCTTGATTTGTCTTAAAAGGCAAGAGTGTGAATCGGATCTCCTGGATTTACAGGAATATCTAGATTATTTTTATTTGTACTCCACGATAAACTTCAAGTAAGCAAAGCATGAGAAAGAGAGAGAGAGAGAGAGAGGAGGGAGGGGAGGGAAGAAGAGAGGAGAGGAAAGAAGAGAAGTGGAGGGGAGGGAAGAAGAGAGGAGAGGAGAAGGGAAGAGGAGGGGAGGGAAGAAGAGAGGAGAGAAGAGAAGGAAAAGAAAGGGAAGGGGACGGGAGGGGAGAGGAACTCTTAACATGCTCAGGGCTACTGAAGGTCCCAAGAAGAGAAGAGATGGGAGAATGTCTATGGAGATTCTAAAATCATCCAAGTCCAGCTTGTCCCAAAGTAAGTCCCCCCCCCAAAAAAGGCAACTGAATTTTCTTGTGTTTTGCCCCTCTTCTTTGAAAATGTTTCGCTTCCCATCCAAGAAGCTTCTTCAGTTCTGAACAAGCTTCTTGGGTGAGAAGGGAAACTTTTTCAAAGGAAAAAAAAAACAAGAAAAACCAG